GCCGCCGGGCCAGCGCCTCAGAGCTCCTTCCGTACCTGTTGCAGCCGCCGGAGAGGCCTGGTGCGACCTTGCGTTAGCGGGCCGGGCCGGGCTCCGCGGGGCGATGGGGGAGCGTCGGGCAGCTTCTTCTCCGCGAGCTCCCTAAATCTCTCCCGAACCTGGGGCTGCCGGCCACGCCCTGGTAGTACCCGGCAAGAGGGAGGAGTAGTGCAACAGGCACCTTGTGCCGCTGGGAGTGAAACCGGGGCAGTAGCGGGGTCCCAGGGCAGTTTTAACTTACAATTTTAGCTTACTCAAGGTCTCGCGGAGTTTAAGGAAGAAAAGCAAAGACTGGAAATGCAGTCCGCTTGAGGATGTTTCTGTTGATTTTACACAGATGTTCAGGTACCACAGTTACTCTGTGGACTAAACCTCGTAAGGTTGAGACACACTTTTTAGCTCTGCTTGCGTACGAGCGTTGCCATGGGACAGAAGGCATTTCCATTTCTCTCCCTTTACTCGTTCTCCAGCTGTAAAGTCTGTTTAGTACCTGCATATTTTCTCAGCCTTCTGTAAGAAGGAAGGATTTGGGAATGTTCTGGATTGATATTTATGTGCATGTAAACATTTTTACTGCCACATTTGGAAAACAGTAATTGAGTGGACTTTATCTTCAAGTCTCTCAAAGCATCCTCTCATAGCTACATATTTTAAGAATCTTGAAAGCGGTCCTTTTTGTCACAAAGGGAAAGTCTTTAAAGAAAGCTGCACAGTCACACAATTGTATAAATGTAAAGCACAGTAATCGTTTAAACTGGTTTACGATAGATATTTAAGAGACGCTTATGTTTATGTTATATACTGTAAGGCACCAACAAGGAGCCATCGGTAGAAAAATTTTAAGCTGAGAAGACATTCCACGAAAATTGGTCCTAAACACTAAATGGGATCAAGTATTAGTCCTGTGCAAGTCCTGTATCATTTATGTGTATTTACATTATTGGGTCTTGATACATGTAATCTTTGCATATGGAAGGACAGCACTTGATTCATGATAGAAACTCTTGAGACAGTACAGATAACAGTAAATAAGAGTCGTAAAGTTCATAGTGCTTCTGTTGCTATTAATTTATATTTTTTTTAATTAGTAAAACGTTTTCCAATCTATGATCTCAACATGGAAAATACAAAGACAACTGCTTTTCTACTGTGTGCTGAAGCTCAGGTACAAAACTTTTGTTACACCTGACAACTTCAGACTTCTGCTGGGCTGATTCCAGTTCTACAGGGGAACTTATTGAAGATGTCTGCAGCTGACAGAAGTGGGGTAAGGGAGGTGCACAAGGCTGGGAAAAATATTTAGGAGGAAAATAACAAAACAGCCATGAGAAGATGTAGATCTCATTTGGTTTTCCTTCTTTCTTCCAAGTACTGATCACACATGCTGCAAACATTGAAGTATGTAAGTTAAATTGTTTTCTTAGCTAAAGCTACACATTCTCCTTAGAGAACCAGAACCTTACATATCAGCAATATGAGTTTTTCCAAATACTGTATATAGTTGGGACAAACAATTGATCACTTAATTTGATCTTTAAAATGATCACACCAGCCTATAAATTTAAACTTTTGTAAGAATGAAAGAGTAAAAACATTTTAGATAATTATGTTTTGAGAAACAGTGGAGGATGAGGATACGAATGGTGTCTGTACTACACCAAATCACAAGCTCTTAGAAGATGTCCTGTGTGAAACATCTGAATTTTAAGATAAAATTTTATCAGTGTTTTGAAAATACTTCCAGGTCATGGTTGCCTGCAAATGACTGAACTTTGACGTCAGTATGTTCATTTCAAACTATATTCCTGTTCACAGTTTTAAGTGAAAAAGCAGCATATTTCATCAGTAGCATATTTTAAACATTACCTGAAAGTTTAGAAGGAAGAGAAATGTCTGATTTCTGTAGGGGCAAACTTGAACTGTGGTTAGTTTGGCCCTTGCCCCATGTAATCTTCTTGATGAAACCTTATTAAGAGCTCTTTTTAAGCAGGAATTAATGACTTCTAAAAATATTTTAAAATATATCTACTTGAGCTTGGAAGATACCAGCCTTCCTCTTTAACATTTTAAAAGTGCGTGGAACGATGTTTGAGTCTTTCTCTGAAAAGAGGTTTCACAGAGCAGTGTTCAAGTAAAGCACATCAGAAGTGTGCAGACACCAGCAAGTGGATTTTACTCTATACAAGTACTTTATTTAAGTGGTGTAACATTTGCGACTTTGTAAAAAATAAAATAGTTGGGGGTGGTTATTAAGTGGCAGTTCAGCACGTTTCTTCCAAAGGATCGTGGAGTATACTGTACTTCAGGGTGTGTAATGTAATGGCTACACAGCTTGCTTCCATCATTCCTGTCTCAGTCCAGACAAAGAATGTGGCTCCTGGCAGGAGATGTAGCGTTTTTGACACCTGTTTATTTTGGTACAGCAGGTTGGAGAAACCAGAATATCAGTTAAATAACTTTCAAGAGTGCAGGTTGAACCAAACTCAAACCAACTCAACAGACAAAATCTTGAAATTTCTTCAAGTAAAACATTTTCTAATTACCTAGTTAAAATACAGCTTTAACATTGATGGCAGACCTAATGTGGAATGCCATTCCTCTTCTTCAGTCAACTGTGCTCATGATGGTTTAGATTTTACGCTTTTTATTGTACTCAACACAAAATCTTCATATTTGCTGGTTATCTGCCCACGTAACCCTGCATTTTACTATTCTGCTTCTCATTTGTAAAGCCTTGCATGTCTTTTCCCTAGCTATGTTGTTGCACTTCCAGCTCATTACTTTCTAACACTTGCTGCTTCCAGGTAGCAATCTGTCATGTTTGCCCTGCTAGACTTCAGGCAGAAAGTAAAGGAAATAGTAAAGTGCCTCAAGAATGTGTTTTATATGTAGTTGGAACCTTACAAATTGTTTTGAACTTACTTAATACAACGGAATGAAAAAGCAAATCATGTTTATGTATCACAGCATATATACTTTGCATTTAATAGAACTGTTATTTTTATAAAACCTTTGAAAGTTACTAAACTCCAAGGCTGAACACTGAGGTAAATAGAACTCAAATAAGTGACTTTCATCACTTAATTCTCCTGGCCTAATACTGTTTTACGTTATTCTGTTTTTATTCAAATGGTAGCGTTACCTGTTACATTGCTGTAGCTGAATACTAGAAAAGTGATCTAAGATTACTTTTTTTAAAAAAGTTAATTAAGGAACCAAGACTAGGCAGGTTGACTAATGATTCCTGAAGTCTGTGTTACTTTTGAACATGCTGTGTTAATGAAATCAGTAGTTCCTAAATATTTTGATCAGACTTTATTTCTGTCTTCTCCAGCCACCTACCAGAAAATGGTGCTGCCTCCCATGTGTGTGAATGACATTAGTGGTGTTTTAGTAAAGCCTGAAGTAATATCTAAAATTAAGTATGTATCATTTCTTGTATCTAACCCAATATGTGTTGTTTATTAAGCTTAAAAAACACATAGCAATTCTGAAGTAATTAATGGTCAGACCCTTAATGGGAGCACTTCTGCAAATCAGGCCCAAGCTATGTCATGTTGGGCACCAGGAAAGCAAACAGACAAATGACAACATTTATGGAAAGTTTGGATTAAGTGAGCTGCTGTGCAGCACAAGGGGATACTCAACTGCTGTAATCGCCGTGCCATCTGTTCTCATCCTCTTGTCCCATATTCTGCTAAGCGTGTGCAACCAGGGGAGGAAGGATCTTATCGGAATAGTAGCCTCGGTCACTGTTCAGGGATTCACTTCTTTGAAGAGCATGCATGAGGATATGGTATAAAGCATGACACAAGAGATGGCATCCCTGAAGGAGGTACTCGGGAATGAGAGAGTTAAACTGCGACTGTTACAGGACAGAACTTTTCAAGCTCAAGCAACTATCCTTCCCCTTCTAAGACATGTAATGTAACAGTAACTAAGTAGAGGAAGAGACTAAGAGTGCATAATCTGAGAGTGTTTTCATGCATGAGATGACCTTGCTTGTCTGAAAGCCTGTCCGTGTTTCCCAGCTGTCAGCTGGTCTGCTAAATGATAGCACCACTCCTGCTCCATTCCATCCACAACATGGTCACAAAACTATTGGCAGGTGAAATCAGCTCCTACAGTAGCCTTAGAAATAGGTATTTTTGCCAGTCACACTTATAAATGTAGTAAGAAATTTTCTTGACCAGTACATCCTGCTAAATCTCCTAATTTACCACTCCCTGTACATTATGTTAGTATTCAGAATATGTTTTCATCACTAGTATAATGATGCTAAAGAAATCCTTCTTTAAGAACATGGTAAAAGATGATTTGAAGGTTTCAAAAATAAGCTTACTGATGCACCAATTAATAGTTACATGTACATACATTTAGAAGCTATCTTAATTGGTGTAGAACTTTCTTTGAACTCTGACACCAGATGCGGTAGGCCCTAGGAGGTTTTAAGGTATGGTATTGACCTTTTAGCCAACTGGGAATGAATTCGGAATTTTCTTGTGTAGCAGTAGCAAATGCTATGCCATTGTAGACTTGAATCCTTAAAGAGCACTTCAGTGAAATCTAAACATTTTAAAACCAATGATGTTTTCCTGAAGAGTTCTTAATGAATAAGCTTTTATAATGAATAATAGCTTTTATGGAAAAATGACATACCTTTCTTCTGTAAAGGGCCCTGTTAATTTCTGCATTTAAAATGAATAAAATGTGCTGAATATTTTGATAGAATAATTAGCTGTTACTGAGTTAGCTTTTATGGAAAAATGACATACCTTTCTTCTGTAAAGGGCCCTGTTAATTTCTGCATTTAAGAATTAGGAATATAAATTTTATTGATGGAATTTACTTCTATGCTGACAATCTTAGATAAAAGCTATATTTTCTGTGGCTAGTATTTGGGCATGCAAGTGCATAAAGCACTGACGTTCAGTTTAATTATTTCCTTTTGTAAGCAGACAGTCATTGTCTTCTATGTTTGTAGTAATGGCATGACCTAGGGGAAATACAATCCAGGGCTGTCTCTGTTGATCATCCTGATTAGTTACCTAATCTGATTACTCTGCTTTGTGTTCCATATGTCAGATTCAAGGCAATAACCAGCACCGATGTATGAGGCCTGCTGTAGTTTAGCAATAAAAAAAAAAATTGCTTAATGTAATTAACAGACATAAAGGGGATGTCCTGCCTTTAACTTGATTAATGGTCTGCTATGAGGATTTGCTTTTGTTCATTTGTCCTGTCTTCTACCGCAGTTAACTTTCAGCTGCTTTTACTGGTTTTTGTAAGGTCATAAAAAAGTTATCACAGATATGTTTATGTATGTGGAACTTGATTTGAAAAAGCGTCTCCAACTAAAACCAGTTAGTGGTTCAAGAGACTGTAATTCTAAGTTTAAGCAAAAAAATTAGTGATACATACAGTGAAATCATTGTCCTGGGTAATATTTTTTTCTTTGTTTCTGCTCTTAATAATTTGAAGAGTATTCTCAGAATATACTTATTTTAATATTCTGCATGCATTGAATCATAGTCACCTGAAATTAGTTGTAGAATGAAGATTTATTAGAATAAAAGGTATGTAATCTTGTTTTCATTCTCTCTTCTGGGCTATAAGCATCAAAAGACTTAATTTTTCTAAATATTTTTGGTCTTCAAATAAACTGACTTTACACATTAACTTTAATTTTGAAATGCCCTGAGTGGATTTAGAGAACTGGGTTTAATCCTTCATTCATTGCTTTTACAATCTTATAAATTTCAAAGGAGCTTTATATGTGTAAATGAAGAATAAATTTGACCTTTTGTTTTGAGATACCAGCTTACAGGGCAATGCTATTTGTTAATCCTATCGAAAAAATCTTAATTTGGAATCTAGTTCCAGTGAATTACTTGCATGATTAGCAACTGCTGTATCCACCCTCATTAAAATGTATTAGATTTTAATGTTAGTTTTTGTTGTTCCAGACTTGTGTTTAATGGGAGGGTTCTGTCACCTGCTTCAGGGTTATTTAAAATCTTAAATGACTTCTTGTCAAAACCTGAAACAATATATTAGGATGTGTGAGCAATGCATACTGTGACCTGCCATTATGAGGGCAATGTTTTTAGTAAGTATTATTGGTCAAGCCTACTTTATTCCAAAATGATGAGGGATGTAACTTCTGAATTTTTTAGTAATCTGAATGCATAAGCAAATACATAAGCAAATTTTTTTAAATTTTTAATTATTTTAAAACTAATGAATATTGCCTAAAGTAGGATACACATCTGTAACATCAAGGAATTTTTGAGTTAGTGTTGACGTAATAATCCTTACCTTGTCCTCATTAGTTGGTGTAGCACATATGGTATGGAAGATCACCTACTGCTCTTAAACCATTTTCTAGTACACCATATGTGGTGTAACACATAGACACAATGAGATTAATCCCTGAATTAACATTTAGTTCCACAGAATACTTATAAACTCACACCAGTGAACAAGTTTGTGATTCCAAATATGACCCTTAAAAGGCCACAGAAATTTCAGTAAACTACAGAGGGAAGGTGCAAGAGCATTACCAGTTTTCCAGGTCCCTGCTGCCATGGAATTTACTGAGTAAAAAAGCTGAAGTTGAAAGAAGTGGACGATGTTACAGTATGGAGGCAAAGGGCGATCTTGACTGTGCCATTCTCTTGGCGAAACAGGAGCCAGCAGTGTGCCCTGGCTGCAGAGGAAGCTAACAGCACGCTGCTTCAGCTCGCGGGAGGCATTGCTGTCATCTCCTAGCAGCCCTCGAATGCATATGGGAAGGTTATCAAGAAGATCCCTCACAGTGGTGCACAGAAACAGTTGAAATTAAGGAGGTTTTGGCTTGCTGTAAGGAGCAACATTTCTCTGTAAGGACAGTGGTGCAGTGGAACAGGTTGCACAGGGGCACTGTGCAGTCTCCGTCCGTGGAAGTTTTCAGGACCCAGCTGGACAGAGCTCTAAGCAACCTCAGCTGACCTCATAGCTGACCTTGCTTTGATCAGGGCTCTGAACTAGAGACCTCGTAGAGTGCCTCTGTAGTCTGAATTACTCTAAGGTTCTACATTCAGTCTAATATAGCTGGTTAGCTGTGATAGATGTACACAAAGCCAGATATGTAAGAAATTTTCCATTGCCTCTAGGGAGCACAAATGGTATGACTCTACAAAAGAGTCATTTAGAGAAAGTAACATCTATCTCCCACCTTCCTTTTCTTCCCCCCTTAAAGCTAAGTAATAGGTTAGAGAGGAAAAATTCCTCCCCAGTCCTTGGAAGTGAGTAGCAGAAGCCCTGAAGGATAGTTTAAATATTATGGAAACATGATGATTACACAATAAATGATGATAAACCTACATTTCCTGTTGTTAGTGTTTACTCACTTTTACCTCAAGTTTTCAAGCAGATGCAAGTTCCTGCTTTTTGGCTTTTAGTAAACTTCATCTGGTGGTTTTCCTTTTGTTTATTGCATATAAGCCATTAGTTTGCTGTTTATTTCACTTACAGCATTACTGTCCAGAATACAATAAATCATTTCCATCATACAATTACAAAAAAACCCCTCAGTATGTATAGAAATTTCTTTTATGTACTTCAGTGATGTCAATGGGATCACCATCAGCAGTTAAAAATGGAGGAAGATGGATATTATTAACGAAGGCATTCTAAAGCCCATGGCCTAACAATCTGATTAACTTTTGAGAGGTTTGCTTTCTTGTCCCAAGTTTTTGTTCTTTTTTTTTAAAATGTACCATTTTTCAGTTTAATAGTTCCATGTTCTTAATATAAGATTTGGCAACCTGATCCAGTAGAAGCAAGAAAGCAACAGGTATCTGAAAAATGTACTTACTGCAAACCTGCTTTCGTTGCGTAAAACGTTGATTGTGTGTAAGCTGAGATAATGTAGTAAAATGCAAATTTGGACATATGCACCAGAGAGAACTTGTCTGTGCAAAATGAGGGGGTCACAGAGTATAACTCATTTTTTTTGTTGTTCTTTTTATTGTTTGTTATTTCTGTTCCTCAATTTCTATTTCCTCTCTTTTTAGGAGCCTGATGCTGAATACACTGTGTTTCAGGTAAAAGTCTTTTCATAAATAAAATCATTAGGAAGAATTTCTGATACACTGAATAATACTTGTTTTGTTGTTAAATCCTTAATGGCATAAATTTAGGGTTTTTTTTGTCATCGCTAAGGAGGGATATTTGATAAGGGGTATTTTAAATAGGCAGCTTTTATTTGATAGAAATTTATTTCTTGTGTGTATTTTCTATGGCCTTATTCAGCAACTTAGTAGCTTAGTGCCTTCTAATAGCTAAATTGAATCTGTTTTGAACTGAATGACCTTCATCTGCTGATGAGATTAGGAAGAAGCCAGTGTGTATTTCACAGGCACAACAATGTTTATGCTCTTAGGGCACCCTTTCACGTTTCATTTAATGGGGTGTAATGGTGGGCTGTTACCCCTGCCCATCCCGTTCCTACAGCTCATTCTCGCTGCCTACCTTGTGTACAGTCTGGTAGTCTTGAAGCTGCATGACGATGTGTAAGTGATGTAAGACTGAGAGTAATTGATGAGTTTTCACTCTGTCCACACTAGCAGTCGAATACTGCAGTGAGAATAGTAATGTGCGGGTGGTGGCATCATTTGGCTCCAGCCTACAGTCGGACGAGAGCAAATGCAATGTGAAATTGCATCTTTAAATACAGCTCAATAACATGTTTTACACATCTCCGATTACATTCCAATGAAGTCATGCAAGTTGTTTGCATACAAAACGGTTTCAGTGAAATACTGCCAGATATCTTCTTGGCTTTAAAGATGCTACTTCACGAGGGAGTTAATGCATTCTGGAATTTTCATTGTGTATGGAATAAAATTTATGATAATGGAAATTATTATTGGAGAATGAAACCTCTTAGAAATGTGCATTACCAGATTCAGAAAATACATTAAGATTTAGATTTTAAGTTTATCTGGTTTTAATTTGGTTTTTGGACTTTTTGGGAGCAAGAGGAAGATACTCGATTCAGTGACAAACCAGTTATCAGGAACCAAGTGAAAAAGGCTTTGTCACTTTTCTTGGAGTTCAGACTTCTTAAGAAATACTGTTACCATATTTCTGTACTGATGATACCTAAGATATTGCTTCCCTTTTTAATTACTGTAGTTATTGTAAAGTTCTGATTATGAGTTAAGCAAGCTCAGTCTGTTATTGTATTGGGAATACGTGGGTTGTCTGAAATGAGCCATCTCTTTCTTGTTTTAAGTGCCCATTCCATAAAAATGCAAGTCTTTTTCATAAATGCCAGACGTGTTGCTTGTCACAAAACAGAATTATCGATCCTGCAAAGAGAGAGCAGATAATATAAATTGAATCTGAGGCAACAGTTTGAATGGACAAACTTGTGCTAAGTTGAGGTGTAAATAATAGTCATATCACAGAATCGTAGAATGGTTTGGGTTGAAGGGACCTTTAAGATCATCAAGTTCCAGCACCTCTGCCATGGGCAGGGCATGTCATGTGGTTACTCAGAGATGTGTGCATTTATTTTTATGTCTTTTTGTGATTATAAGTGAGCCTTCTACTCACTGTTGGCAGTGTGATTCTTCCAGTTTTGTGCTGCTCCTACTCATTTTAATTGAAGTTTTTCAGCTGAAGTTCTTCTGCATTAGTTTAGGATGAAACCCTTCACAAGTTTTCATTGAGTGAAAAATCTGTGCATTGTACTATAGTAAATTACTAGAACTCTCTACTTTCTTATGAACAGAATTGTTGAAATTTTTCTGGCTAACTAAGAACTGCAACACAGAAAGGATGCTTCACACAAGGACAATGTAGCTATAGGAAATACCAGGAGTACTGATTCTTTATAGAACGTCAGTAAAGTTGGAATTACTGACCTGTTAAGACACCTTTATTTTATGAATTAAAAACATCAAAATTTGTTGAGAAGGGTCTGTTTTAACAGAGAAATGTACATCTCAGGTTTTCTTTTAAAAAATAAGACAATAGCCCTATGTCGTAGTTCTAATAAAGTCCTATGTGACTTTTTATGAATAAGTAGCAAAATTTTTTATAAAATGGATGTCAGAAATCTTATTTTTCAAATCCATTTGAAAAAAATATTTTTTTCCTACGTCTCCCTTTGTGTGTCATTATACATTTCTAATTCTCTTTCCCGTGCTTTGATTTTTCAGATATTCAGCATAACTGTGCATGCATAGAAATGATACTTTTGGTTTTGTTTTGGGTCTTGTAAGAAGTTGTTAGGTATTTTGAATTGTCTTCTTGTCTCCCAAGGTAAAGGTCATCTTTCTATTGTTTAAGTAATGAATTTGATATTTTTCTCTCGCTGTTTTGATCAGAAGTCCTGTAAGGCAGTACTCTAATCTACAGACTGATGGTTAATTAAGGAATAACATGTGATATTTTAAGTTTTTGTTGGCTGTGGAGCTTCAGACTAGGAGCGTAAGACTGGAAGAGCAGCCTAAGGAATCTATTTTTTATTTTTTATGACAGATACTTGTCCAGTAATGACAAAGAGACATGTTGCTTTTAAAAACACATTATCTCATGTTTGTTATTGGAGAAAATGATGTGATATATCACAGTGATATAGTTATGTCTTTGTTAATAACTGGCCCCCAGTTTTAGCAAGTAGTGCAGAGAAGTTCCTACTTTCAGCTCCCAGGAAAAGGTCATTGCTCTGGGCAGCTTTTCCTATCTCTATTAGGAAATTAGCCTGTGTTTGACTACACTGAGAGTTCTAATATCCGCATATTCCCAATATAGACATGGTTATGTTGATTTCATACATGTCTGAAAAAAGCGGAGGATCATCAAGGTGTTAAAAATTCAACAAACGAAATACTTCTGTAGTAATGAAAAACAGTTAAGGGTGTTGAACATCTAACTGAAAGTCTTAGTGCTAATTAAAGGTTGTCACCCTACTACATAAGAAGAAATTAAAAGATAATAAAGCAGATCTGGATTATGCCTGTCTGGCCTAGATTCAGATCATGCTGCCCTGTTCCTTTCTCTTCATACTTAAACAAAGGTTTCTAATTGTGGTTGAGCTGGCTTGCTAAATCCCTCCTTCTGCTTGGAAGAAAGCACTTCTTTTTTTAAAAGGGGAGTTAAGTATTTCTACATTTTTAGATGCACTTTCTTTTGGATAGGCAGTTATAAAGTTGCATAGAAATATGGGGGAAGTGTAGAGGAAGGCATGCTCTGAGACATGATGAATGAGAAGTGTCCTATTAAATGATGACTTAAATAATTGAATAAACCTGAGGTCCAGATCTTATCCTACTTCTTATTTAAAGAACGAATGTTTCCATGTGTTTGACCTTTAGTTCTATTAAGGTAGCATCAATCTGTTTCTAGTTTGAAATGCCTCCTTAGCAAATAGTAAACATGCTTTCCCACCGGACTCCTGTACCTGCTGCCAAAAAGAAACAAACCTAATTGTTTTGGCAGTGATTTTTAGTTTGGAAAATTTATGATGATCTGTTCAGTATCTGAAGGAAGATCAGGGATTGGTGTTGTGGCTCCCTTTATCATGCCAGCTCTATGAGTACATTGGAGGCATATTAAGTTATCAAAGTGGTTGGATCTGCGCTCATTTTGTTGGTACTTCTATATAACCATCACTGGATTTTCTTTTCCCTATTGATGTGGTATCTACCAAAAGCTTGTCATATATCCATGCTACTCATACAATCCTCCAAGACATTTAATGTAGTAATTTTTTCAGTTCAATAACAAGTACTCCAAATATCTTACAATCTGAGATGATTAATCTGTACATTTACACATTTTTTACAACTGATGCTTTGATCAAAGGAGATTTAGATGATCTTTCTGAAGACTGTCACTTGCGGATAGTGATGTACTGTATCTCTAGCTGCTGGTTAAAAGATTTTCCTTCTTTCTCTACAGAAGCCTGGGAATGGCATTACTTTGTATTACAGTGGTTTACTGTAATAAACCTTCTTCTCCCATCCCCATTTGAATAAAGTGTCTGTCAGTGGTGGGGTTTGAGTGGCACTGGTAGCCAGGGATTTCTTCAAAAGCCCAAGAGAGTTGCCTGTGACTCGTCATAACTTTTCATGAGGCATGAAATTCTGTCCTGCAAACTTAATGACTATAGCTGTTCCACTCCAAAAGAGTTGTCTTGGTCCCCTTTCTACCTCCATCAGGCAGCTGATGGGTATATCCAGCTGTTTGTGTCAGTACCTTACTCAAGCCTATTAAAACTGTGAAGGGAATAATAATTAAAAAAAAAAAGGGGGTGGGGGGGAAATTCCTGATCTGATTATTTATTTGGTGTCTTGAAGATATTTTACTTTTTACTTTATCCTTATTCAGGCTGCCTGGAGCCTAAAAACACGAGCTTTGACAGAAATGGTGTACGTGGACGAAATCGATATGGATCAAGAAGGAATCGCAGAGATGATGCTAGATGAAAACGCCATTGCTCAAGTCGCAAGTAAGAATGACATTCACTTAAATATGTTGAAGCAACGAGAGCTCTTTTGGTCAGCTGTTACCTAGCATAAAATAGTACATACTGAGGTGACCTGATATGGCTTTTAGCTGTTGCTACAAGAAGAGGTTTAGATTGTTTTATGGTTGGATGGCAGTGTTGAGATACACTACATGATCGTGATGTAGTGCTTAGGTCTGTCAGATGGGGATTCAGACAAATGGTGTTTTGTCAGCTTTTTCTCTATGTGTCTGTACTCACTAGCTCTTTTCCATAAGTGCATTGCTTTTCTTTACTCTTTTCTGTTTCTTTAGGCACGGTGGGAAACTAGAGAAAAATATATGCCCTTGGTGTACTGTGAATCTCATCCATATGCCTGTATGGTGGGCAACAGTCTGGCCAAATCTGACATCACCTTTTTGTATCGTTTCCCACAAACATTTTCTGAACTGATTTTCTCTACTTTTTCCTCTCTTCCTTCCCAGGGCAGTTGTGCCCTGTCATTGTTTCTTGTATGCAGCTCTTCAGCTCCCTTTCAAGTGGGCAGTTATTAGTAGTCTTCCACTACTTTTTGGCATTATTTCTATTTTTATGTTTCTTTAGCAGAGTCCACATGGGGATTTTTATGTATCTTATTAGAAATGGCTCTCAACCACCTACCGTGTCGGAATTAAAGGGAAGAACTGGATGTAGGCCAGACTAATATTTGAAGCATTAAAAGCTTTTCTCATCTGGATAGAAGTAGTCAGTTGTCAGGTGACATTAAACAGTCAAGCAGTACTCAAGTTGTGTTTATACATTGTGGTAATCTAATTACATGTACCGGTATTAAAACAGCCTCATAGTATAAATTAGACTTTTATTGATTTTATGCCCCCTGTAGTAGAGATCGTCTGCCAAAAAAAAAATCATTTGATGAATATTATTGAGAGATAAGGCATTCTGGAAAAATACATTCATACTATATTTAAACTGGAAAAAGGTGACTTTCTGGATACTATGTCACAGAATTCAAAGCCAAAGAAAATCACTATGATAGTAAAGCCTGCACTCCTGGATCATTGAGATAAGATTCTGCTATTCCTGCTTCAAATCCACTACATGTGCCTAAGCTAGTATATAGTTTTTCAGAAAGTATAAGAACTTTACAGAGAGAAATAGCCCCCTGCAGTATTCAGTAAATTAAAAATTTGCTAGCTTTTATCAGTGTCTGCCATATCTTTAGTGGGAATTATCAACTATACCTCCAGCTGTTGCTTCTTTGTGTATATTTTATGCTTGATACAAAGTCTTTATTTTCAAAGTTATATTTCCGAAGTAGTTAAAACTGTCATTAAGTCATGGAGTGATCTTTTGTTTGATAAGCTATACAATCTTCTCATTCTGAGGTATATCTTTTAAATTTTGAATTGAGTTTTGAAACTCTCTTTTTAACCCTTTCCAATTAATCTGCATGCTTTTTCAGTTGTAGTCATCAAATCAGACAGGAGTCCACTAACAGAAAATGATTTCTTATTCTACAGCTTGATTCTACTTTCATTATACATCTGAAGTGGTTTTTTTGTTACACTTTTATATAAAAGATAAGCACAGATGTCACTAGGGAGGGTGCAAAGAGGATGGAGCCAGTCTTTTCAGTGATGCCCAGTGACAGGACCAGAGGCAAAAAGCACAAACTGAAACACAGGAGGTTGCCTCTGAACATCAGGAAACACTTTTTTAACGTGCGGGTGACTGAGCACTGGCACAGGCTGCCAATGGTGGTGGTGGAGTCTCCCTCCTTGGGGTTATTCAGAAACTGTGTAGACAAGGTCCTGGACAACTGGCTTTAGGTGGCCCTGCTTGAACCTGGTTGGACCAGATGACAACCAGTGGTCCCTTCCAACCTCAACCATTCTGTGATTGTGTGATCATTCCCACTTTTACATATGATTTAATAAAAATGGGCACTTGCGGATTGTGGGCTTTTTCTTTTGCTGTTAAAGTGTGTGTGCCATTGTTGGTCTCGACTCAGGATCTTCCAGGTTATCCTCCCCCATTATAATTATAGCTGATAAAGTGAAAAATGTGTTGTCATACCTCCCATATTACAACTGGTATTGTCTGTACTCTGCTTACTAAGAAGTTCAAATCTTTTTGCGTCAGTTACACATCCATTCCAATGTTGCATCTGTTGTTATCTTAGTTTCCAGATTAAACTGTTTTAATGATTTTTCTCTCAGTCTTGCATTATTAAGTAATTACTAAATTCTATTGGGGCCGTTGGAAACAATTACTTTCCTGTGGTTCCTCTTCACCCATATATAATGAAGTCTGTTTTCCACCAGTTTTTATTTTTTTTATAATTTTGCTGTGTTAATTTTCCATCAGTCTTGTTTATTAATAGAAATTATAGAATCATTTTAGAGAAAATTCCCAGTATGTTACCTTTGGACTCTTCAACACCATCAATTTTATCAGCTAAGGTTGTAATCTTGTTTAAAAGTGTTACCTTGGCAACATATTTTTCAGTAACTCAGACTAATTGGCATTATGGATAATCACAGCTATTTCATTAACTAGGGAGTTAAAGGAGTCATCTGCAGTTGTCACTAATTGCTGAAATTACGGTCTTAAACTCAGTTGCTGTTGGTGGCCACATGCACTGCTGTGGACTCGATGCCTATTCATAGCGAGTTCAGTAAAGACTTGAGTTGCCTGGGGCGAGATCAAAGGAGCTAAATCCTGTAAGCATCCTCTCAGTACAACAAAACCACAAAACAATTGTAGCTGGTAAAAAAACATGTCTGGAAAAGGGATTTTAATGCCATACCTGTTTTATATTATTACAATAGTTAAAAAAAGAAAAAAGACTCAAAGTGGAAGACTAGTTGTGAGATTGTCTCCTAGGCTGAAAAGTTGAAAGCCACTTTCTCCATTTGTCAGAGGAGTGCCCTGGTTACAATGTTAGAAACTCTGCTGGTTGGACTGTTCACACCTTCTCTTGTGGAGTATAAGATTCACAGGTCTATAAAGAGGAATTAAGCAACGGAGATCCCAAGTGTGGCCAGCCAAAAGAGAGAGAATCCTGAGTTTTGGTCCTTATTTTAACATCACATATATTTAGTTGGTTTTACCAAGGACATCATGGTTAATACCCTTTCTTGTATTATTTAACTTTAAATACAACTGTAGCCAGATGGCTACTATAATATTGGAGTCAGAGGTGCTTGGTCTCAGCATGGATTAAAAAACTAGAAGGTATTTAGATTGAATTAGAAGATTTGGACAAGTCTACTAAACTTGCTTGAACAATGGACTGGTAGTATCTCGGAGGTGATTACAGCTTGAGGGCAGGAGAGAGAAGACTGAAAGAAGTGCAAACTTGGGGTTTATCTTGGGGGAAAGAAAGAAGGAAGTTATCTACCTGTCAGTTTAACCTCAGTTCTTGGAAACATTTGGAATAAAAGCAGTTCATAAGTATCTAGAAAATAAGTAGATGAATAACAGTGATTTGTCAAGAACTGACTGTCAATTTGAATCTCATTTCTTTCTGTACATAGTAGCAAGCAGTAAACAGACCAGAAGGTATAAATGTCATATCTTGCTTTTAACCAATTTTTTAACACCATCTCTTAGGCAGTCACTTAGGAGGTTAGAAAAACTGACTGTAATCAAATGTCAGTGAAGCTGATGGAAAATCTACATGCAGGAACTAATAATTCATAATGATCCACTGCCAAAACAGAACTATGTGAAAAGGGGGACCCTTTGTCTGTTCACCTGGGTTCAAGTCAATTCAGTATTTTCACTGAAGACCTTTGGATATGGATGAGTTTGAGCGTTACTGTGTCCTAAACTGTGTGTGTGTGGGTCCTACATGGGTCTAATGACATGAGATATCATTTTCCATCTGCGCTGTAGCTGAAGGTTTTGGTTTACTTACTCAAGACTGGGTGCTATTTTAGTCCCAGATAGAAAATATACCATTTCAAATTAGCATGATCTCATTGTTCCAGTAACCTTTCTTACTTCAGTGCTGTCTGTTGCTCCTAAGATGTTCCTGAGAATTGTTGTGTGTTAACTCCGGCAGGCAGCTAAGCCCCACACAGCTGCTCACTCACTCCCCCGAAGTGGGATGGGGGGGGAGCATGGGAAGGGTAAAAGTGAGAAACCCATGTTCATTGTGGCAGGTTTCTTGCAATAGTCTGACAATTTACCAGCAGTACAATGCAATATTTGGGGGATTTTGTCTTCTTTCTCTAGTGCTATGGCCTCTCAATTTGAACAAAGAAACTTCCAGTTTATTCTAAGACACAATCTTTTTTTTTTTTTTTAAGTCTCCTGGACAGGGTTGTAGTATCTCTATGTGAAGTGAGAAATGCTCTTATTTTGTAGGACCAGGAACATCTTTGAAACTCCCTGGAACTAGCCAAGGTGGAGGCCCCAGCCCAGCTGTTAGGTATGTGATTGTTTATTTTTTAAAAATGTAACTACTTACAAATGAGCAAATCCCTAAATTTAACTTTTGAAAAAGAAATGCTTAAGATATAAGTGTTAAAATTCTCTATCAACAAATACCAGTCAAAATAAGGAAAATGTGCTGTGCTTAACATCTTCAGGCCAGTAACTCAATCAGGAAGACCTATTACAGGATTTGTGAGACCCAGCACGCAGAGTGGACGGCCAAGTACTATGGAGCAGGCTATAAGAACGCCTCGAACAGCTCTCACAGCTCGCCCAATTACTAGTGCTTCTGGGAGATATGGCAGGCTAGGAACGGTAGGTAGTTTGACTCTTCTCAGAATGATGGCTTTCTTGGTCATAGTATCTCGTACAGTAACACTGTAGTTGACTTAAAAGCTGCATCTAAACTCAAATTTGGAGGAGGTGAGCATTTTTAATTTTTTGTTCCAATTGTTTTCAAAGTAAAGTTTGAAAATGTTATGTCTTGTTAATTTGCTAGCCTGTTTATATAACAAATGTACATAAATTCACAAGTTCAAAATATTTCACATAACTTCCAAATTCACAGGTTCTTTGAGAGTCATTTTTATTCACTGGAGGTCATGAAAAGACCAGGACCTGATTTCACCATAAATACATTGAAATCTCCCAATTTTTCGATTTACTACAAAACAGTTACTAAACTCTCAGTGTCTGTCACTTAAGAAAATAAGGAAAATAACACTATACTAGTTCTACCCTGTTCTATTGGCAAAATTAATCAATGGCAAGTGGCATGAATATGTAATACAGATTAACAGCACATTAATGGCAAAACGTGATATCTTCTCACTATTGAAGATATGAACTGATCTTCCTAAATCTTTCTTGAAGATTTTTTTTATGTATCACAACTATCTTCAGTCCATCTAAGTTAGTCCAAGCTGCATGCTTAGGCACATTATAGAAATAGTGGAGAGAGGGAAGAAAAACGTAGTTCATCTCTTACAGGAACTGTATGGGAGTAGGACAAAATGCCTGTCTTTCAGTCAAGATGAAATTGAGTAAGAAATCTGTACTGTGGAGTAGAGCAATGCATCTGCAAATGCTTTGTTTGGTTTTGGGGTTTTTTTTGTATACTACTAATATTTTGAAAATTTTCAGGAAAACTGTAGAGGATCTTCCCACTTAAAAACTTCTTTTTCCCCTTCAGGCTTCAATGATAACAAATCCAGATGGCCCTTTCATAAATCTGTCTCGACTGAATTTAGCAAAATATGCTCAAAAACCCAAACTGGCAAAGGTATGTAACTATTTTGGTTAATGTGATATCTTTTTCTTATTTTCTGCCATCGTTCTAATGTAACTGCACATGGGATTGGGGATACACCAATGAACTGTGTTGTAGGTGTAAAGTTCAGAAAAACAGTGTGTTACTTACATTGGTAAATAACTCAAACTGTGCATGTAGGAATGATTAAGGGCAACTAAAAAAAACGGCCAGGAGGAAAAAAAAAAAAAGAGCAAGAATCCTCCTTAGTGTCCAATAAGGCAGTTCTGTGTACAAATAGGTGGCAATCCTGACCTAAAAATCCCGGTTTGGATTTTTCCCTTTGATTTTTATGGCATGAATTAACATTTTTAATGTAAAAATATTTCATCTTTTTGTTCAGAATTCTTCTTAATTTTAAGTTAAGATCTTATGATTGGCAGTCATTGAAACTGAGACTGTCTGCCAATAGAACAGGTTTATCCAGGTTATCTGCCCAGTTTATGGATTTTAACTCAGAGTGGCAGGGACCTAAAAGTTGTATAATGATCTGTCACTCTGTGGCCTTTCAGTTGTATCTATCCCCAACACAACCAGTTAGTTGTATAGATGAAGATGTGTTCTGTGCATACTTTGTTCACAAAAAACAGCTGTTGGGCTGAGACCAACAACTCATTTTGCACAAGGGATCAACGGACTCTCAGACACACTCTCAGGAGCTATATTTGGCTAGCAGCCTAGAATTGAAAACACTGTTTTGAGAAACACAGTGGTGAACACTGGTAGAAGACTAGCAGTACCAAATCATCTGCTGGTGGAAATTAGCTCCTCCAGTCCAAAACTTCAGTTAGACTTTTTCATAAATGCTTAGCAAATTCCTTTGCTTTTTAAAACCTGATCTAGGCTGATGAAGAGCACTGCTCTTCAATGGGGTTTTCAAAGGAAATAAATATAATGTGATGGCAGGGTGTTCTTCACTCGCCCCTTACATCTCTGTCTCTTGGCCTCTTAACCAAACTAGGCAGGAGAATAAATCTCAAATATAGTAAGTTCTAGTCTGGTGACATAATGAAGAACTTCCTAACTATCATCTGAGGGCAGCTACAAGTCAGTCCTGAAAAAAAGGCAAGGTTTTTTTTGTCCACTTATGTCCTTGTCAGGAATCAGCCAGCACATACATTATTCTAAATCCATCACGATCTGTAAAATAAGGAGAATGTAAGAAACCTGGGAAGGATTAAAAAACGCAGTACACAACCTCAAGAAACTAGGCTTAGTTCTTCTGCTTGAAGACAGCTAGCTTTGAATTGTGTTTGGTAATTCTACATACTATTTAAATAGATAGGTTAGCTTTCAGATGAAATATTTATTCTCAGGAATGAGAAACATCTATTTTTAACAATTTTTTTTAAATTTGCATTTTCTAGGACAACAGGGTCGTTCTGTCTTCCTTCAGTTCTGTATGAAAAGAAGCTTAAGCCAAAAAAATGTAAAGCAACAGTCACAGAAACATCCATAGGCAGCAAGTGTACTTGTCAGTATTATGAAACTAATACATTATGACATTAACATTTCACGCAGAATGTAAGATCTAAGTTTAAATTTGGAGCTACATGGATTTATAACATTTTTTTTAAACAAGACAGCATTAAAGCTAAAGCCAAAGCAGGAGGTGAGGCTGCAGATTGCACTCTGTTAAGTATCATCGATCAAAGTTTTAAAACTCTTTGAGCTGTCACCTCTCCCAGGTGCAAAATGATGATAAATCTTGCAACTATTAACTTCAAATAATTGGCCCATGTATTCATGTTGTTATATACTCCTCCTATGTACTTCTTCCTCGTGTGGTTTTAAAGCATACTCATCACATCTTTTTTTAAGTTAGATCATCTCTCTTTTCACTGCTTGGCTAGGTCTTCCAATGTTTTGAAGTATACAGGAGTGTGGCTTCTCTCTGGCTAATATCAGCCATGTTAAGGACCATGCAGGAAACCTCATAGTAGACTTAAGGGGTATCCCCTGTCGCCAGAGAGAGACTCTGGTAGATCTCACTAATCAACTGGTTTATGGAACAGGAAGTTTTATCTTTCTACAGCTTGTGGATTTTTAATAGAGTTATTAAGATCACTTGGATAAAAATATCTAGAGTTAATGTTCAGTCATTTAAAGCCTTCTGAAGGTCAGGACCTAGAGATAACAGTGGTAAATTCCTTGTGCCAGCCATGCAATGAGACATCATTTTTTATCACTTTAGATTTACTCATTTTTACTGAATGCCACCCTCTTACTGAAGCAGAGGAGGAAATGTTCCTTTACTTCTTTATCTTTATTCTTTTCCACCTCTTCTAATCTCCCTATAAATGTGGTTCTATTTGTAGTTCGTTAATGTTTTTTAATCATCTTTACTGGCCAAAAGTAGAAGAAAAGTAGGTTGTGGTTTGCTTTCCTCACCAGACATGACAATTCATTAGTAATTCTCTAGTTTCCTTAAGGTAAATCTTTTAAGAATGTTATCTTAAGAAAAGCTGGCAGAAGAGCCATGGAAGCCCTTAGAAGGCTGCTGTCTTGTTCTTTTCTTTTCTTCCTCCTGGGGCAATATTTTCTTTATTTTTTTATCATTAATAATACAAATTTAGAAAAATGTTGAGCTCTTTTGAACCCGTTAAGACCTGGGATTTGGATGTGGAAAAAGATTGAACCTTGACAAAACTTAACTCAGTTGAACCTTGTGTTACTAGGACCCACACTGCATTACTGGGAATAGAGGCTTTCAGTCTCCAGTTAATTCAGCATGTTTTTATTCACTTAAAAATGCCACCCCCATTACCTGTTGTATACTCTTCTATATTCTAGTGCAGAACAGCTGTAAGGTAGTATGACTTCCTTGGCTTTACACAGGAGTGAACAAACATGCAGATGTATTGCCCTGTTGTTGTTGGGGGCTTATGAGCAGTTGTTACAGCACAGCTGCATGTAACTTCTTTAAGCTTTGGTATTGTGATGGTGTGTTTGAGTTTCAGAATTGCAATATTGTTATCATTTATAATTTGTAAATAAAAATAAGCTTTTTCTTTACAGATCCCAAGATTCTGTAGGGTTTAGATTTTTTTTCTTTTCCCTAAGGCAAAATTTGCTCAGCTTACATTCTTAATAAAGCTATGTTTAAGTAGATTTTGCACTACATAAGCACCTAACTGTACATTGCAAAAGCCTTTGTTAGATCACTTGTTGATTTTACAGTTAAAAAGTCATGAAAATGGTATATATTCACTTTCAAATTATAGCTGCCTTTTTTTTTTAAGTGATTTTAAGCGCCAAAGATAAGAGACAGTTCCACTAGTCTCTTGCAACAAATTAAGAATTAAAATGCTTTCCTGTAATGACAGTGTAGCACATCTATAGTGTTTGGCTATTCAAGTCTTAATTAAATGTAAATGTCAGCAATTGTGGCATGGGAATGTGATTGTGTTCACAAAGAATGAATTGCCTAACATAATCAAAGTTCTGTATTCATCTAAAATAAAATTATCAATTTTTATCTTCAAATATGACAATGTTTTAAATATTCTTCTGACAGGCATTGTTTGAATATATTTTTCACCATGAAAATGACGTTAAAAATGTGAGTAATTTATATGTTCCATTTTCAGTTTTTGTTAAGTATCCTTCAGTTATTTCTGTCAGCATTCTGCTAAACTAAGGATCAGGTAGTACCTCACATCATTGTACAGAAGTGAAGCATTAGAAGCTGTTTGAGAGGAATCCTTTCTTACAGGGGTGAAAATCAGGGAAGATAATTTGCAAGAGATACAGATTGCTCTCTTTATTGAGAAGCAAAACATTCTAATGCTTAAAACTAGGTTCCTCATCTATCAACATGATAAGATCACTGTATCTAATGATTTCATGTTAACAGAATTTACTGGAGCCTGGGCAGTAGCTGAAACTGCGTGACAGGTAGCTGAACTGCCTAGAAAGTTCAGAGTTCCTGAGAGCAAGCGGTAAGTTACAAAAGACTGTCCATTAACAGGAGAAGGTGAAAATACCTGACAAAATAGTTAGTTTTCCCAATTATAAACTTACCAAAAGTTTTCCTAATTATAAGGTTTTTCTCTTACCCAATTTTTATTCTGTGATTCTTCCTATGTTACTGCCCAGAATGGATGAGATCAAGTTTGGGTACATATTGTTTAAACTTTCAGAAATAGGTTAAGTTTGCAGAACTTTTTCGGCAGTTCACCCAGGGAAATAATTAATTCTGTGAATAAAGTGTCAAGATATTTCATTACTTTGTTAGATATATGCACCCAGTTGAAATGGAATCAGGATTTCTCCTTGAAATTTGTTTGAAAGAACTGTTTGTGTCAGTAATGTATAGGTGACTAAACAGTTACTGAATTTTCTGGAGTGCTGGTGTGTGATTAGATCTGAAGTAAAACTCTCCAGTTAATGAAGTAAAATGCTCTAGTTAATCAATAACACACAAAAAATATTTTGTTGTTGTTGACATAGATCAGAACCATTTCCAAATGTACTGCTATGTGAAGCTTTTTTAATCTAGTATCAAATGATTATAGTTGTATGCTGTCTATTGCATAGCATTCTTTTAAGAAGATTGAATTGCAATGCACTATTAATCCAAAATATGGTTGAAACAGTAAGTGCAAGAGTCAGAAATGTCAGAGAGAAATAGCAATTAACATTTACATATTCTGATGCTGAATATTAAGAAAATGTCTGGGGTTTATGCCACCAACAATTAAAATTTATGTTGTTTCTTACTGAGAACTCAGTTCACTAATAATAAAAGGGTCACTGGATAAGATGTCACATGGGCCCGTGATGTATGCTTTAGGGACATGCAGGATCACTAAGCTAGACAGATCATTTCATATAATGCAAGGAATTTTCCAAGCCTTGCAGAAAAAAAAATTAAATGTTTTACACTGTACTGCATGTACTTTTGAAATTCTTGCTGAGAATATCGAATCACTGTCTTGCAGGAAAAGTTTTGCCTAGGTTTTTTTATGCAC